ATTTTCGATGTCTTTTCAATACAGAGTAGTCCGTTTTCTTTGTAACAATATTATAAGATATTTTATGAAATAACAACTTTCAGGTACAAAATTTCTTCGGGCTTTATAGTTATTATTATTTTTTTTAAGTAATGTTTTAGTGTTAAGCAATGTTTTAGTTAATGTGTTAAGTAAGATTTTTTAAAGTGTTAAAATGTCTATTTTAAAGATTTTTTTTTCTTTTTTTTGAAAAATTACTGAATTAATTTTCAAATACTTTACTCTATTGTGAATGAGAATACTTCATTAGAATACTTTTTTTTTCTTTTTGAATTGCGGTAATGTTAACTTATGAATATGTTTGCAAAACATAAAAAAATATTGCAAAATTTACTTAAAACTTAAATAGTATATACAGATAGTAAATCAAATACTGAAAATTAAAAATAAATATATTAAACGTTTTTTTTTTTTTTTGGTGCCTTAGTCAACTTTAATGTAACTTTTCCTTTCTTTACGTTTTGCGAAACCTCATTAGTGCCACCATTAAATGATATCATATTGTTGAAATTTTTATGCTCAGTTTTAAACATAAATTAAAAAACCGACTGCTAAACAATTCAAAGGACAAAAAAAAATGCGTGAAAATTTAATGAAACGAAGAACAAAGTAAAAGTTTTGGGACACCGATGAAGTTGCTTTTCAGGGACGCTAAATTGAATTTTGATTCGAACATTCTCGAACTTCTGTAATGGATAAAATATGTAATTCTGAAATCACGTTATTTTTAATTCATTTTTAAATTGTTTTCTCTGAAAGAGATAGCTTCATTTTAAACTATCTCTTTTCATACGATTTCCGTGTACTTAAAAATGAAGAAGAAAAATCAAGGAGAGGCAGAAAAAGAAAGAAAAAAATTATTACTGTCCTTGTCCGTAGAATTTTTAAAAGAGGCATCATTCATCCGGTATTTTGTTTTCAAAACAAATACTATTCACTCGATTTTTGCTCTGTTAAAAAAAGAGAAGGCATTTTATTATAATAATTATTATTTTCAACAAAAAAAAAAAGAAAAAAATAGGCCTTTTTCAGTCGATTATTGTTTTGTTTTCAATGCGAACATTTTTCATTCGATTTTAATTTTAAAAAAAGTAAAACGTGAACAATTTTCATTTTCTTTTTTTTAAAGAAAAAAAGGGATTGGTAAAAGAAATTAGTATAATTTTTTTTTTATTTCTATTTTATTTTCAAACCTAACACTATTCTTCATTCAGTCCTATCTTCTACTTACAAAACTGATACTGTTTATCAAATTTTCGTTTTAATTTCAAAACAATTAACATTTCGATGATGTGTTTGTTTTAATTTCAAAACAAACACTATTCACCCAATTTTCGTTTTGTTTAAAAACAAATCCACTCCGAATTCGATTTTAAGTTCACTTTCAAAACAAAAATTTTTCATCTGGTTATTATTATGTTTTCAAAACAAACTATATTCGTCCGATTTTTATATTGTTTTCGAAGCATTTTTATAGTGTTTCATTTTCGAAGCATTTTGAAACGATAATCCTGTGCAACATTGTAGATAATTTGATTCTATAGTTTCACTAATATGAAAGAAAAATCAGTCGAATTGTTTCTGGTTGAAACAAGGCGGGAAAAGAAAATTTTTTCGAAGTTAGAAGATTCGCATTTGGTCACAGTATTTGTCTAAACAATTCTGCTTGAGTCGCTGTAAATTAAATTTTAATCCAAAATTACAATCCAAATTAAATTCACTGTAAATCCAAATTTACAGAGACTAAATCCAAGAATTTCAGAAAAAGCAACAGAACATATTTTTTTTTACACGCGTAAACATTTCGAAAGGGCCAAATACGGAGGGAAAAAAAAATCGATTTTTTGATGAAGTTCAACTTTGTGCCCCTTCCCTAGTAGACAAAAAGTTTTAAAATTTTCTTTTTTGTATACACCTCGACATGCACCTGTACATAAAAATTATCCAAATTATCTTTTTCAAAAATAAATTACATCCCCCTCCTCCCCTCCCTCCAATAAAGAAAATTCCTCTTCTTTTTCGGTCTCTTCTTTTTTAAAAAAAGAAAACTTTCCCTTTTAGAGTTTTCGACTACTTCCAGATAAAAAACACTCTTTTATTTTCTCTCTCTTTTTTTCTTTTTGTTCCACGCATATTTTATTTCTCTTAAAACTCTTTCTTCGTAGTTTGTGATTAATTTATTTTAAAACAAAAAAACACCAGGTCACTGAACTACCTCTCCATTTCGATAAATAAACACAGTTAAAAATCTTCTTTAAAGAGATCTGAAACATTTCCATGCTTTAGGTTGAGCCAATGAGCGGCTCCAAGCATCATGACGTAATCGCATCTCGCGCATCTTTGTGTTTTCCTCGCTCTTTTCTTTAGGTTGGTGTGGGAGTGTACGGAATCTTGTACTTTTTTTTTTGTTTTCTTTTTATTTTTTATTCTCTTCTTCGATTCTCCCGCGAAAAAAGTATTTTAATTTTGGATCATTCGTTTCGATGATGTGTTGTGGAATGTAGGAAGGCCCCATCACTGATGAATGAATTAAAAAGGAAGTATTTTTTGTGGTAAGTCTCAGTTTTAAACTTACTTTTTATCAGTTTCTTCAGCTGATTGAAGATGCAATTTTTAAAAAATGAGTTTACGTTTAATCACTCACACTTATAATGTATTTAATACTTTTGCTTTTTTGCTTACCGCTATCGAAATGATGATTATTTTTAAATATGATGTACAAAATCATTATTAAAATAATAAGAGTGGTTGTTATAATATTACGAGGGACTATTTAGATATTGCGTAAGCATATTTTGCACCTCCTCTCATGCTTGCGTAAATAAGATGCAACTGCCCGCTGTTTTTCTGCTTTTAACTTTCCATAATAATCGAATTTTAGGATTCGATTAAAATGTCCGTTTTAATTTGCCTTAGAAAGTGTTTAAATAGATTAATCTTTCATAATTTCTAGTGTTTTAATTTTGCTCTCAAAGCTCTCCATACTTGATTTTCCTTGTGTAATTTGTCTGCAATATAAATTTTTTTTTTTCTAATTTAAAAAAACTGAAAGTAGGGGGATTTTAATTGCTCATATCCTCTTCCTACCCATATTAGATCTTCAGCTAATGCGTATTTGTATTAAAGATAGGCAGAACAAAAAAACAAAAAGGATATTTAAATCGCCTGAATCACTATTGAGGAAAGAAGAACTGAAAACATCAAACCAGTTTGATCAATTCAGTAGACTAGAAGACGTTTTAAATAATCGTCTTCCATCATCAAACCCTTCTACGGTCTACCCTCTACCGTCTTCTACCCATCAAACTGGTTTAAATATTTTCAGTATCATTTTTCTCTCTAATGATTCGTCTCTCTCGTAAACATTCGTTTGCTATTCCCTTTATACAGTTCTTTTTTCACTTCATTGTTTAGAAGGAAATTATAGAAATGTACATTAAAGAGTGGTGATTATGGAACAACATGCTTTGATAAAGACAAGACAAAATGTTTAACTGAATATGTAGAAAGCTTTTTTAATTTCGTATGAAAACGTATTGCCAATATTATTAAAAACATGCTTGTACGAAATTACCTGTTTAACGAAAAAACTCCTCCCTCCAAAGAAGCCTTGCTGTATTGCATCTCAAAGAGGCTTAATCCTCACCTAAATAGCATAACCTCCATGGATCCCCGACAGTGCTATGGGGAGACAGGCATTATATACAACCGCTTTCTTACGAGGCTTTTTATGGCATAATAAACAAAGCTTCACAATATTTGCAATTATAAAATGTTGCTGTTGTTGTTGTTAATTTACGTCGCATTAGAGCTGCACAATGGGCTATTGGCGACGGTCTGGGAAACATCCCGGAGGATGATCCGAGGACATGCCATCACAATTTTGATCCTCTGCAGAGGGGATGGCACCCCCGCTTCGGTTACCCGACGACCTGCACGCGAAGTCGAGCACTTTACGGTAGCACAGTTTAACGAGGACCAATACCGCACACCCTCGGTCCCTACGCAGACTCATCCAAGTGGTCACCCACCCGCACACTGACCGCAGGCAGTGATGCTTGGCTTCGGTGATCTGCTGGGAATCGTGTCTTAACGATCAGTCCACTGCGGGACGCAATTATAAAAAAATAACGAATTGTAAAAGCAGGTAGCTTGAAAAGTTGGCTGAATTTTCTTGAGAAGAGTTCTTGTTGTGTTTTTGTTCGAGGGCATTCGTGAGTTAGGGAAATTGACCTTCCACCATAGAGTTAACAGATTCAAATCCTGCCTTAAACTTGAACGCATTTTTGTGCCAATTTTTTTTTCAAATGTGACAAGGATCGCTGTTTGTAGTGAGTACAAAATCATGCATATGTAGGGGTGTGGGTGAATATAATAACTTGATGAAAGATTATTTCATCTGCGGTTCAAAAGGCTTAAGTGCTGAGGCTTTGTGACTTGAACCAGCGACCCGCTTTGCCTCGAAAGCACCGAAGAACATGCATTGTTTATTTTCGAGGAAGTTTATATACGTGACTAATTGATTAATTACTTAATTCTACTGGTCACGCAGTGGACTGGTCATTAAGACACGGTTCCCAGCAGAGCACCGAAGTCAAGCATCACTGGCTGCGGTCAGAGTCCGGGTGGGTGACCACTTGGATGAGTCTGCGTAGGGACCGATGGTGTGCGATATGGGCCCTCGTTAAACTGTTCTACCGTAAAGTGCTCGACTTCGCGTGCAGGTCATCGGGCTACCGAATCGGGGTTGCCATCCCCTCTGCAGAGGATCAAAATTATGATGGCATGTCTTCGGATCATCCTCAGGGATGGGTCCCAGACCGTCGCCAATAGTCCATTGTGCAGTTCTAATGCGACGTAAATGAACTACAACAACAACTTAATTCTACCGAAAGTTGATTTTGATCAAGTTAGATACCTCGACATCCCCTCACCCCGGTATTATTGTGGTCGGTTAAGGCGTCGCTCATAGTGCTGGATAGGGGTTTTGCGTTCGATCCTGGCAACCGACTAAATAGCCAAACTAAAACGCAGCAAGATGCAACTTAAATCTTTTATCCTCGTGTTCATTGTGTTGTGGAGGGGAGAGAGGTGAATCCGCTCAGGCACTGCATACGTCATCTGACTAGTTCAAAAGGACATTCCTATTATCATTCTCACCTTGCCTGTTTGAAAATAAAGACCCTAAAATGTGCTAAATACTTGATTACGGTAGGATGATGTGATTTTTTATTATCTACTACAAATACATTTAAAAAAGAAAAGAAATAAAGAAACTGAAAGTAAGTTGGGGAAAAAAATCCATAAAGGATCCGATAAAGGAAACTACGTGAGTTAATGAGGAAAATTTATCTCTGAGTGGTTTCAGGTTTGTTTTGAATTTAATAATGAATTGCAAAATAGTTTATATATATATACATATATATATAACCTGGATGTATTCTTAGTTTTCTCTTTCTTTAAATTGTTCTGTCTTTCTACTTAACAAATGTTTATAAGCTTAAATTGAGCAGCAAACAAGCCTGCAAATGAATGTAATTTCAATAAAGCAATGTATATACATGTATTATATATATTTGATTTTGGATTTAAAAAATATATATTTCAATCGAAAACTTTTTTAAAAAATTCTGAAGCTTCTGTTTGTAATAATTGTCATTAATTGAGTTTAAAACTTTCAAAACTAAACTAAAATCGTAAGCAAATACATTTTGTTTAAGTAGCGTGCTAATAAACTGAAATAATTTCTTAAAACTTCAAGTTAAAATTTAAAGCATACTTTATGCATATCTTAGTTCACCCACATAATTGAAAATGATTTAACGCATTTCACACTGATACGTGTAAATGAAGGGAAATTATAACTTTCTTAAAATTTGCCGTATTGATAATTTTTTCATTTTTCATTCGATTTTATAAAAACAATTCAACAGCATACATATTAATATGGTTTTCGTTGCAAGTAGGATTTTTTTAAAAATCGTTTCTCGATATTTTGTCTATAATTAAATAATAAATCCTGAATTTTAAGGCAATGCCTCCGATAGTTTACAAACTTTCATTACATAGCCCTCTTGAAATTTTAGAAGTTGAATATTCGATTTCCTTTTCTTAATATTTTTTGTTCTTAAAAAATTTAAAATACCGTTAAGCAGAGCAACGCCCCTGGTAGCAAAAACAACCCAACACGGCGATGGGCTAACTTGCAGATTACCACAGTATTTGCAAATTACTTTTTAATTTTTTTAATCTCAGATAAATGAAAAAAATGGGGGGGGGGAAATAAACTACTGTTTGTTTAAACAAACAAATTTGGATAATTTTGTATATCAGACTTGATAATCATTTAGAACAACAAATTTCTAAGATGAAATGTTTCGTTTAATGAACATTTTTTTAGCACGAATTGAGTTATTCTCACATCTTATGAAAGAATTAAAAACTGATATGTAACTGAAATTATTCCTAGCTAAAAAACTTTGAAATCATATCAAGTGTTCCTCTTCAAAAACGGAGGAACTTGAACTAAATATTTATACATTTTGAAAACGTTGAAACAGACGAAATTGTTTAACAATTTGTTTTTATATATATATANGTTAATGTATTCCTGTTGTTCATATTGTTAATACACAGGGTATTTCATTATGACCTCCCTTCAATTATATGTTTTAAGTATCCTTGTCAAAAATAAAATCAAAGTAAACGCATAAGATGGTTGAAAATTAATATATAATATAGGAAAAGAATGGAAATTCTATCACTTACAGAGCATTATGCAAGTACTATTAAAGACTAAAAAGGGTGAAATGAAGAAAGAAAATCAAAACCAGTTTGATTGATGAGGAGACTAGAAGTGTCCCTAACATTCAAATCCTCTGTTTCAATTAGTGTAGCAATGATTTTTAAGAATGTATATTAAGGGTTGTCATTGCGGAATACTCTGTACCATAATCACTTTAATTAACAAGAAAACTTTTAATTTCTATAATTTAGTTTAAGGTATAATGTAATTTAATTTTTCATTAAGGATAACTTAGTGGTTAAGGCACTGAACTGTTATAGTAAAGGGGGGTTCGATCACCAATGACTGTTCATATGGAGCTTCATATGGATAAGTGCCAGTTGTTCTGAAAAGTAAAGCTGGTCGGTGCATAATGTTGATCATATTGCCATTATGATGCCGTTGGTTATGAAATTAGGAGGACTTAAACTCCATGATCCACCTTACAAAGCAGAGAGGGTAAAAGTTTTGAGGGGAAGGCCGGGCACATTATAAGGAGTGGGAATTTCCTAGGTACCCTTGACTGGAAATTTCTCCCCACTATGAATTGACTGTTCCTTTGCATTTGAAATTTTACTTTCATTTTAAAAAATTTTCGTGGTTTTACACCAGTGTTACGTTTCCTCCAGGCGAAGTTTTTAAATAAGCCAAAAAAATAAGAATTTTAGCCTAATTTATTAATTTGGCGAGTAACCAGGAAGAGCTCCGAACCACCTGAAGAAATTTTTTATGTACTTAAAAACGTAAAATTCAGCTGCAGCAAAGGTATCGAAAACTAAAAAATATATATGCAACAAATTTTTATAGATTTAAAAACTTGATGAAGAGGACACTATGCTTGAACTTATGTCATTAATTTGTATCTTTAAAGTTACAATTAAGAAACGTTTCTGACTATTTGGACAGCCTCGAAACAGCTGAAAATCCAATTACTAGATCAAAAGTGCTTTAATTTTTTTTTTAAATTTTTGTTCTGCCAATTAATCTAAATCTAAACTCAGATTTCTTTTTGCGTAAGTCAAATGGCAGCTCTTAAAATTTAATTTTTCTAAATCTACAAAAAAAAAAAAGTTTTGGTAAAAATACAAAAAGAAGTTTTTTGAGGTGAAATACTAATTTTGATAGATAAATACATTGGTAATTGCATTAGTTGCGCAATTTATTTATTTTCAAAAGGAAACAAATAAAATTTAATATAAATAATTAAATAAAACTTGTGACTAGTCATTCATGTTAATCTGAAATTTCCCCCGTATTTTAATCAACGTATTTAGTGTGCATTTCTTTTGGCATAGTTTCAAACAATTATTTTCCAGCTAACCTAATGTTTCTAAACTTTTCAAGAAAAAAAAATTGATTACTTTTTCCTTCCCCCTTTCTTTATAGTGTATGCTTCCATATAAAGTAAATGAATTACTCTAAAGTTATTACCCCACTTTCACAATTTTACCATAAAATTCATTTTTATAATTTGGCGTCTTTTTCTTGGCGAAATATTATTGAAGCAACCTCTTTTTTATAAGGATGGGAGGGTGTGGTGGAGACCGAAAAAAATGAAATAAGGGGAAAGGGGGTTAGGAATGAGGGGCCTAAAAAACAATCGTTCCTGTAGCAGGGACTCCTTCCACGAGAAAAGAATAAAAAAAAAATAATAAAGAGAATTGCATAACAAAATACAAATTCGAAATTGATGACAAAGTAGCGCAAGACAGCGTCGCATTTTTTAATATTCTTATTCCATCTATTTTTTTAGCATTTATTTATTTCAAAATGATTTCCCATTTTGCATTCGTGCTTTTTTTATGCGCTTTTCTGTGTACATACGTGGGACAGGGAATGTAAGAAAGGGAGGGGAGCAAAACGCAATTTGTTGTTCGAAACCCTCCAAGAATAGATAAATAAATAAAAAGCGAAGACTTCGTCAAAATTCAACTTTATGCCGATAAAGTCGAAATCTGCTTCGCATTTTTTGTTGTACAAATATAATCAGGAATAGAAATGAAGAGAAACATCGAATGCAATTTTATTTTTTATTATTATTATTATATATTATACGTTCTTCGTTTCGTGGAATGAAATAAGCTTGTCTCAACTTATCGTTATATTTTTCACCAAATAATACGAACCTATACGAGATTGCAGGAAAAGTAGTCCAATTAGAATGGAAACCTATATGTTCTTTTTATTTGTAAAAATGGCAATTTCGAATGAAATTTAAAAAAAAAAAAAAATTCGAACATAATAAAAAAAAAGCAGCGGGATTTGTGTTCGAAGGATGAAGCAGTGACGGAGATTAGAATATCAAGCTATTAGGTTTTTCCAGAATAAAAACAGACTACCCCTTCGTTATAAAACCTATTCCATCCCCCCTTTTTTTTCTTCAGAAAAAAAGCTAAAGAAAATTTTTAATGAAGTCTTTGGAGATATGATATCTAATAGAAGTAAATAACAAGATTTTGGAGCTACAAATCGTAACAGGTTTCTATTTTTTTCCTCTACATCTAAAAGCAGGATGATATCGTATTGTAGGATCAGATCAACGAATGAAGATCATGTTGCATATTTTTTTGCTACTGAAGTTTGGATTGAAAACGACTAGGAAAATATTCATCTAAAAACTTTATTTCAATTTAGATTGGGCTATAATTTGAAGTTATTTTTCCATGTTATTTGAAATGTCGTCTTCTATAGTATTTTCTCGTGAATAGTCCAGGAACTAATTCTAAAAATCAAACCGCGACTCAAGACACACAAGGCACGTGTTCCATCGTTTGCGAGTTTTCTTTTTCCTATTCTCGTTAACTAGATATAGGCACTATGGATACTCTGGTACAGACATTTTCACATTAAACATCGTTATAAAACAAATGCTAGTGCTAAAAAAATTGTATTACGGATCATAATCATATAATTAACTTATTAAAAACCAAATTGTTGGGAGTTATCGCCTGCTTAATTTTTAACTTTGATCTAGTTCGTTAAATTAAGTTTCTATGGTAACAGTTTGTTTTGCTTTTTTCTGAGATTGTTCGTTCTTTTTTGCAGAGAAGAAGTAAAATGACTTTGAGTTTATATTTATTTATTTTTGAGCGTTAATATATTTATATTTACGCCATTTTATATATTTAAATTGTTTCGAGTTTTATTGATGAAGCTAATATATTTAATATTTTTGTAAATAGAACTGTAAAATGAATCATTTCGAGTGTTGTAAGTTGTTTTATGGAATAATCAAGAACACACTGACATCGTTAACATATTCTGATTCGAAGTGCAAACGGAATGCAAATTTTTAAGATTCAAAGTGATGATTAAATCAGCGATTCTCTATTTTTCAGCTATGGAATCCTAAATGATCCAGCTTCTTTTTGCTGAACTCCGGTATTATATTAAAACGTTCATTAGTAGCAGGAAAAAAAAAGAAAGAAACTACCAATTATATCGCAAATATTTAATGTGAATAATGAGATAATTTAGCATTTTAAATTTCCTTGGTGCATGTGCAAGTTAAAAAGGTATTAAATAAATTATGTCTTTCAAAAAATAATTTTTGTAAACATTAAGAATAATTATCACAAAAACAT